TGCCATATACCAGACAATTCTAGACTCCGCGCTACTACTGAGATTTTCGAACGTGAATATAAGTATATGCCAAAATGTTCTAACACTATTGAAACTTATAATCTTGGTTATCAATCGAAATAGCCACGAAAAAGTCAAATCAAAAATTGATATTTTGAGCATGTCACGATTTCCAAAATGAACGATAATTTAAAATAAAATCTGACATTGCTTGCTTAACAAATTGAATAACAAAATATAATAAACTATTAATTTGAAACATACATCATAGATAACAAATATACGCAACACTATGTAGGTAAATACGCCATTATTGTCACATGCATCAGATCTTTATTTTGTTTTTTTTTTATGTATTTTAAATGTATGTTTATGTTGAGCCAGTACTCCTTCGAATAAATAAATAGGTAACGAATAAAAGTGAATTTATTAGTGAGGTTAGGGATCCATTTTATTTGTTCCATAGTGTCAGTGTGTGGCTCTGACGTAACGTCCCGTGGCCGCTGCCTTCGCAAATATCACCTAATCCTACCCTGCCCCACTCTGTAAGCCAACATTATCTCATGTTATTTTTCGATATTACCCCGTTACATCGGCTGGGGGCGCGTAAATCAAATTTATGGCCTTTTTATACAGGCATTAAAATTTTATCAGCGAGATTTCTTTCTGAATTGTCCAGTTTACCCCTGTTGCCCCTCATGACTTTCGAGTGGCCTGACAAGAGGGATTTGTCTGTTATATTTTAGCGATTCTTTTGCAATGTTTCCGTTTATAGAGGGAATTTTTGGATATTTTAGTCTCTTCTTCTCTTATTTGCAATTCAAATAATTGCCGACTGTGCCGTTCACTAAAAACATGTTAATAAATTGGCACGTTGGTGAAGAATTATAAGAATACGTCCAGCAATGAATGGATACTAATGATGAAAATGTTAGGTAATATCATAGTTTCTGAATTATGTTTTCCCAAATCTGCGAATCTAGATGTAAATAGTCCCAAAAAATAATTAAAACATAACATTAGGTACATTCTAATGGGTGCTAAGTGATAGCAGAGAAATAAATTCATGGACATTTAGGATGGTTCCATTTAGATTTTTGCCGGGTTTTGCCTGGGGCGATCTTCCGTTGAGCGGGTTGGAACGGGTTGAAACAATAAAAGCAGGTGCGATGTCGATCTTATCGATATGTGCTGTTGCGCGCTAGCCGCCGGCAGCGGCGGGTTAAGCCGCGGTTCCTGCATTGCGACACGGTAGAATTAAAACGTTTTTATTTTTACGTAACGTAGGCACTGTTTCGCTTTTATCCTTAAAGGGTAAGTACGATTCAGCCTAAAGCTGCGAGGCTGGCTCTGAAAATGTTTATTCATTCAGGAATTATTATCAAGGAGGGTTATCTACATGTAATATGTTTTTGTTAAGAGATTTTTAGGTATAACAAGACTGACTGCATAGGAGGGATCGCCTTGTAAATCTATGGAACAGGACGTTATAGTGAAAGCATAAAATTATATGAAAATACAATCCAGCAAAAAGAATTCATGTTAGAAACAAAAAACAATTCATTAAAATGACGTAACTAAACTTAATTGACTAGATACTGAAATTTTAGTCTCTACGAAGTTCGCTACATATTTAAAATCTGATTTAGAATGTTTATTACAAGCACTGGTATGCATATAAATATAGCTCACGAACACAAGACAAACAGAAAAGAAGATTTAAAACACGGACGTTGGCGTCGGTGCATCACATGATAAAAAATATAAAGGTGAACTCCAAGCAAATTGAACTTTTGTTTTAGTCTTACAAAGGATGTCATGCTTGTACAGTCAATAAAACAAAAATGAAAAGTATGGCTGAGCACTCATTGAGTTTTCCGTTAATTTTCCCCCTGATATTCCTTTCTAGAAAACACGTAGAATTTGTACACCGCGTACACAGGACGGAAGTACGCATGAGTCTCTGATGATTCGAATTTAGTATCATCTTCAAAAAGTTTTCTTCGTTTGATGTTGTATTGTCATTACATTATTCACACATTCTATGAAAAGGTTAAAACCTTTCGATGTAATTTGTAGCTTGTTCTTCTCGATACAGAACTATACATTGAAACGAGCACCACCGACGTACAGACTAACGGACAATAAATTTTGACATTTCAAAAGTGCATATTTAAAGATTAAATGAAATAAATGAACGTACACAAAATAATGTTCTCAAAAAATGTAAAATATTTACGCTAAAATATATTCTACGCCCTCCGAACACCCAGATAAAACCTCACTCTGTATTTCTGTAATCACTTGCATTGAAAACATACGTGCATTGGCTCAAACAAAATTTCAAATTCAGAATATATTCACTGACGCGGCTGTCTGGCCACAAGTTTTTAATACGACCAAATAGCATGGGTATATTATGGAGTTGTGTAGGTGTGTGTAATGTAGGGTTGCGTCTAAAAAAATCTCATATATTAGAATAATGATCGTTAGATAGTGGTAATATTTTGCAGTAATTAGTGTAAAATAATGTAAAAAAAACTTTTGATTTTGGCAGGAGAAGTTCAATTTTCGTATCGATTACAGTTCAAAATCATATGATGTGCATTTTTGTCACAAACTTTCCAAGGACTACTGCAAGAAAGTCACGAAAGACCTTCGTGAAGACGATTGAAGAAAAAATATAAATCTCTTCACTACTTGTAATTAAGATACTTATCTACACTCCGCACATAAATAGTCAACCCTTATCACTAGGCTTTAGAGACACCTATCCACATTATATTACAAGACTTACTGTATACATACCTATAGACATTATATGTATATAACCGTGGTCATATCCAAACGTTAGGGTGTTACCGTTGTTTGAGGAGCGGCACGACCGCGGGAGCTTGCAATCAGCTAACCAGATCAGTCGGGAGCAAACACAATTGATAGCAACCAGCCAACCTCATACGCACCTATGTACTAACGCAGTCTTCTCGCTTTTTGTCTCCTTATTCGGTATTTTATGTAATCGAGTATGGTTTATTTTCGGTCTACTCTGTTTGATAGGAATCTTGTACACATAACTGTTGTAATTTGGTGGTACTTACTTGCCAACATTCAGTACGTACATCTCTCCTTTTTTAAAATTTTCTATAGTCCTATGTCATCTGAAGTATAATGAGATATTTTACACCTACTGGCACCGCATTATTTTATCAGAACACACAATGAAGTCGAAACGAAGTCAACAGAAACTATACTCGAACATTTATTCTTAATTTTCAGTAAGCAAACGATATACCTTCAAACCTCCAAGAAAAGAGCGTATTCCTTTTTAAAAGGCCAGCAACGCATTTGTGACTCCTCTGGTGTTGCGGTTGTCCATGGGCGGCGCTGATCTCTTACCATCAGATGATCCGTCTGCTCGTTTGCCTCCTATTCCATAAAAATATATATATCAATTTTAAATTCTTGCATTACTACAGAGGTAGCTTACAAGCGTGGGGTACTGATGAAAGGCAATCGCTACATCAACAGCCTATAAGTAGTCACTGCTGAACAAAGGCCTCTTCTCACACGGAGAAGTTTTTAGCATTAATCACCATGCTGGCTCAATACGGGTTATTGATATCAAACTTACAACACCGTTTCTCAGTGGTATCTAAATATTATGACAAAATACATATAACTCGGAAAAAATGACATAGTACTTGCCGATGGTAGGTTTCGAACCCGTGCCCTCATCTGGCGAGAAAGAAACGTGTGTCTTGAACCTCCGGGGCATAATCTCGTATCGTTGATTTTAAGTCTTTAATAATTTTTAGTTTTTAATATTTAATTTGTCCCTGATCCAGTGATCACTAATTCTACTAGTAATTTTGAATGTCGCTCGGTGGTTGTACTTTTGCTGGTCTCTGATCATAGTAATTTGTAAACCATCTACTATAAATAATGCATGCTGTGTTTACCTGTAATAGATTGATGTACTAGTATTTAAGTTATCGTAAATGTAACCCTACATTGTACAGTGTAATCAGTTGTTGGTGAGCCAAATTAATAAAATAAATAAAAATAAACTTTGGACCATCATAATCACTACAAAGTGCTATCCGCTGTCTGGCTGTCCCTATGTATGCTTAGATCTTTGAAACTACGCAACGGATTTTGATGCATGCATAATATCGTAGAGAAACACTAATAAATTCAGAGGTTTCTAATTGCATCCGTGCAAAGCCGGGGCGGGTCGCTAGTATTAGAATAAAGCGTTGGCCATAATCTTCACGCACGACAGTTGGGTTGGCAATCGCAGTTTAAAGTGTCTAGGCTATCAGAAAGCACTGGTGGGTCCAGTCTCTGGTAACTCCAGTTTTTACAACACTCACAGAAGGAGTAGTACTGATGACAAATGTATTTTACACTACCGTCACCACATAGCTTGACATATCTAATCGCCTGTGATTAGCCTCGAGCTCTTTATGTCTTGTGCTACATTAATAATTAATTTTATTAATAGCTATGATCATCTCTTTACAGGGCAAAACTTCCCGAGAAAACTACTGATTTTCTAGTTAAGATGACGCAATTTAGCAAACTGTGTTAAGTATAAATATGTATTTTACATACACATTTATACAAGAAAATAATTCACATTAGAATAGGTGGACCTAGCTAGACGTAGTGACGACATCAAGCAATAGTAGATAGAACTTAATGACATTAAAAAGATCTTTATCCCACAATGTACCTACAACCTACATAAACAAGTTGAATATGAAGTATTTTATAAGAGAATAATAATAATAATAATACTGATCAAATTCATCATGTTTCTCTGCATCGTTATATTCTGTTTATGCACATACACGGTAAACAGTATTCACATGTGCCAAACACATTGTGCATGCGTTCATTTGTTTTTCAAACTAAGGAAGGTGAGCGATTTGTTTAAGGTCGATAATCACAAGGATTCTACCATTTTCAGCAATAAAAATCAATATTAATTTCTCAGATTTTCATTTATCATTTTATCTCTAGATACATATATACACTTCGGTTATACATTGCCTAGTGGCAGAAGTTTATTGTACATTTCGTTCGTTTAATAAATACCCTTTTACAATATTTACAACTATACATTTGTCTTTCTAAACATTAAAATAATCAGTCATTTCTCGAAGAATATTAAAATTTCAATTATACATTTACAAATGAATTTACATTTATAAGTATTTACGAGATAATCATATAGATAAGCTTGAACACATCTGCAATAAAATTAACAAATAATCTATCAACATTTACTTCATACTCGGCTAGTCTAACATCTAGAAATCTAAATAAATCTAACAATAAATATCTGATATAAATCAAAGGATTTTTAATACCTATTTATGTACAAGCTCATTGGTTTATCACATTTCAACAAATCCATCTTCACGACAGATATTAAACTAACACTAGCACTACTGGATCAATACGGACGCCACACTGATTTATGTGTCGGTATCGTGCCGTTTGAAATCTTAGTGGATGTAGGACTAGATGAATGAACTCGTGTGCTGCGCTGCGAAGGTGCTTTCAGTTCGTTACGGACGCGCGGTCTGTCCGCCACCGTAGAGTCTGCTGCCTGCACTCTCTTCATCTCCTGCAGCTCAACATTCGCTGGTCGTGTGGGATGGAAAGCTGACTTCACTACTTCAATAGGTTCTTCATCAGATTCGTCAGTGATTGTCGCGTCGTGCATCGAATTGACTTCCGATTTTGAATCAGCTTTAGATCTGTCGGGACTAGCATTGGCAATGCTTCTTGGGCTTCCACTTTGTCTACTGCTTGTTGGAGAAAGTCTAGCACTCGATGTATCCATTGAGGAGACGTTGCTTTGTAAGTGTCTCAACGCATCGTAAGGACTGATGCTACTCTTTAGTGATAATTCGGGTGGTAAGGACTTCATTGCTAGGTCTGCTGGATGTGGTCCGAACGGAAGGAGACCATTTGGTGGTAGAAAAGCACCAGGAGGTGGTATTAGGCCTCCTGTTGGCAAGTTAGCCATCGCTGGCGCGAAGGGGAAGAGTTCTGCTCCTGGTAACGTCACGGGGGGTGTTGTTATTGCGCCTGGGCCACCTGTTGACAATAAAAATGAATCGTTAGTATGGTGCCGTATAAAAAAATATTTTTACTTGATGTAAAGCTGCAAATGGTAAAAATATTGAAATACATGAAGCTACCGTTGGTAGATTTGCTAACATGACGTAATATGAGAGACGAGCCCCTGGGGATGGCCCGCGGCGCTCGGGCACTCCGTCTATTCCCCGAACAACGGGGGTGCATAATCGTACTAAGGATAATGTACAATCTGTAGGCGTTTAAAGGCGGCATCACCGAAAGGGATGTTTTTTTTAGTGCGATATCGGGAGGGTGAGGGTGTGCAATATTTATTTATCTGAACACGACGTAGTTCTTTGCAACACAGACACGGCATTTTGTAATTCGGTACGATACGGCTCATGCTACGACACAGTATCTGTCGGCACATTATTGATGCAGGGCACGTGTGTAGGTGTTGCAGCGGACACGTGTGCACTCCACAAAGCCGAGAGCATCGCGATAAGGAAGTACAGGTATCTACGAACGCGCCGGACAAAGAGAACTCGAAATGTGAAATTTTCATTAGCAGCTGTGTTCAAAAAGTTCTTCCCGGGGAAGCTTTGATTCTCGATAGCGTGTAAGAGAAGCTGGCGCATAAAAAGGACACGACGGAGGCGCAGATTGGGCCACAAAGAGCTCGGAGGTGGTGCTACGTTCGTTTCTCTTTTGCACTTTTTCTGTTTGCAGCAGTGGCAGTGCGCAGACCACTTTAAAAGGCAACGGGGGTGGAAGGGGACGTAACTAGGGGGTAATTTGGCGAGGTGGGGGCCAATATCGGCGTTGCGCCTGATTGAGGTGATTCCCGATCGTTGAATTTGATTCTGTTTTGCTTTGCCCGTTATTTTTAATTAGCATTTATTGGGTTAACCGGTCCCCAGCGCACAGAGCATTGTTTGAGTAGTATCCGCGAGCATGGACGAATTGTACTCTTAATTCTTGTAATGTAATATCTCTGTACGCTTTGTTCGATACACTTCGCTAGAGAGGTACATAATCCGAAGTCTTTTGCTTTATTTCCATCATATCCTGATGAAAAAAGTGCAAATCAATTACACATTTCCAAAGTACGTCTCACGTTTGTGAGCGTGCTGCTACGTAGGTTTAATAAAAGTCTGTAGGTGTTTGAGTACATCGCTCCTCGCGTTTCAGCGTCGGAAACAAAAAGTGGCTGGTGGCGCGGTCGCCTACATTGGAATAAAATTGACTCCACACTCTCTCGAACGTGAAGGCAGTGCTTTTTTGTACGTTTAGTAGCACCCCCCACTTTCCCCCGTGGTGCGGACTTCAGCGGGTGGTTTTGCTTCGGTCGGGCCGGTGTTGTTTTGCAGAGTTCAAGAGTTGCTTCTTTTATTTGAGCCGCTTTTGCGTTGTACGGCCTTGAGGGGCGGTACTGTTCCGAGCAACATGTTTTTGAGTGCTGTTTGCTAAATCGGGAATTTTTAAATTAACAAATACCGTTATTGTGCACCGATCGGAAGTTCAAGAGCTAGTCGGATTATACTGATTTTGTAATACGATTCTTTTATGCACGGAGTTTTTAATCTTTTTGCATTTTCTCTCAGACTAATGGTGTCTATGAAACTAAAACACGTTTCCAAACGGTACGAAACAATTTCAAATAACGAATAGTCAAAAAATACGATACCTTTTACGAGCGAGGCGGTTTGGTCTCGTATTTGCGGCGGCCTGAAGTAGTCAGCCCACGCATAGTTGAGGTACGCCGCATCCAGCCAGCCGGGGTTCAATAGAAACGGGCTGAATGCACCCGGGTGACCGTAGCCATAATCTGCAACAAACAAACATAAATATTAATTATTGTTTTGAAGACAACAAACACCAACATGTGGAGATGGGTTTTGGTTTGATTTGTTTCTGATTTCGTATAATACGCTTCTTTACTTAGTAAACACATTTTATGTCTGGTCAAATAAAATTATTGGGGGCTTCAACCGGAACCCGCAGTTGCCGCCAAATGGAATTGTCAGCTATAGAGATCGCAGGGATGGCTTATTAACTAGATATTGACGTGGGGAGGTCACTAACGTCTTGAGCCACGTCCGCAAGCACTAAAGTCACAAAGGGTAGCCGTAAAGGCGGCGACACACGGGCCGCGCTCTGTTTACCGCCCGACGACTATAACAAGGGCTCTGTATACAAAACGAGCCAGTTTACTACTGCAGTTAGCCGGCTCCTCTATGCCATACGTTTTTACGACCCTCCAACGTCACGTTGCCTTTCGCCTTTCATAGCGAAACTTTTTTTTTATTTGTTTAATCGATACACTACTGAAGACAGCGACCATCGTCTATTTTAGACAGTTTTATTACATTTTTAATCCAATCTAGAGACGTCCCAATTGATGCGATCAGGTGTAACGCTTTTATTACCGGATTAAACTGTTTACGAGCACTTTGTCTACTTTGTTTTGAACTTTGTATACGCGGTGCTTCTTAGCGACTCTTTATACGAAGTTTGTTGTTGCGAGTTTTGTTTAAGTAGCCTAATTATATCGTTACCTAAACAGTGCAATGGATGGTGCAGACTTTTTTACGTAAGTGAGCAGATGAAGGTTTATCGCGCACTAAAATGTTTACGAAACAATTAGTTGAGTTGTGTGAAGCGTACCCCTTTCCGCGGGGAGATTAGCGAGTGTTCCGTGAGAGCGTTTCCCAGATCGCGGGCATTTTAAATTAAGAACTTGATGGATGGCCCGTCGCGCTGTCACGCGCCAATCCGGGGCTGAGGAGCGTCGAGCTCCGACATCATGGAACAATAATAAGTTAAATGTGGAACTCGGAAACGGGCCGCTCCATTTGTTAATGCCAGTATTCAATTAAATTCAGTTCCCCGACCCTTTGCATATGCGGGGCTCTGAATATTAACGCGGTAAAGAGAGCATTTCTAATGTTGAGAAGTGGTATATGATTACTGAGTGCTTGAATTAATATTAACTCGGGTAAGTGGGGACGTTAACCGACACAGACTTTGTTCTGAGTAAATTCTAAGCTTATTACATCGATATTTCAGAAGGCATGACTTTTTCAGCTGTGATTGTTTACCATTTCGGTGTACCTACTCCTTTATTTTGTTTATATTGAAACTTGCAATTCGGTGAAAACTAAAATATACTTCGTAAAACTTTTCTTGAAATCCGACAACACTTTTCAAATCAAACTAAAATACTGCACTCACATCGTGAAAGTGTTAAATCTATAAAGTTATTTCTGCGTCCGTTAATCACCAGCGACCTAAAAATGTACAATGGTTAAGAATGTGGCCTGGATCAAAACGCGTCGCGGCCGAATCCGTACCACTCCGGACAATAAACGGACCGTACGACATATAAGTGTCAGAATGAGCGTTAAATATCTCGACAAGATGAGATGCGAGTGGCGTGTCACTCGTAAATTAATGTTAAGGAGTCTCCTGAATAAATGGAATCAGAGTTATGGCTCATAATTCGGAGGGTGGCGACGGTGCCCCATAACTAACACCGCATTTATATACGTCTTCGTTTAATTGTCTGTGTTTATGGCGATTTACTGCTATCAGTTGATGATCTGAATAAGGAACTGTTGAACAAGACATGCCATGTTGTATTTGAGAAGTAAAGAGTATCTTAATATTGAGTGTAGATACTTAAGACTCACAAGACCAGTCTAAAGACTCAAGAAGGACGTTTAAAAGTGTTAACACTAGTTCAGTTTAGTAGAGGATATTTAAGATTAGGTCTATACTCTGTGGGCTGGAAGGAACTACACGACCAAACTCCTTAAAGTAGTTTCAATGACTTTTAGTTAAATTTTCCGCAAGCCATTTGGTAATACCAACAAGGTTCCCAGCCGGGTGATTAGGAGGGTCACTGCCTATGGATGTGGTATTTTAGCAGCTAGCATAGACATAAAATCCATATTTTAGAGGCACCGGCGTCGGGGTGCAGGCGGGGAGATCAAACGGGACTTTACGACGCGGCCCGAGATTGTTTACATCTGTTACAGCCACCGAACCGGCGAACTTGGTAACCGCTGGCCGCTCCTACACCAACTATACTGGTAATGCCAACGTACCGAGCCGACTGGATTCCATGCTTGAATTATTTTAAATATTTTAATTGTTTTGAAAGACCGCCATCTTGGTTTGAAATACAGATATTGAAATGATATTCGTTGTTTGCAAATTCCGTGTCATCAATAAAATATCGCACGTACGTGTTTTTCGACACGTGCGTTTTAATTACCTAAACAGATGTATCTTTTAATGAACTTCGCCCTAGTTTCTATTTCGACAATCCTAACATTGTGTTTATCAATTAAATTATTAATTCAAACATTGAATTATGTTTCGCATACAACTGTAGTCGAAAAAACTAGTGATGCGAAATATGTAATTTTTATGTCCGCACTAAAACCGAGACTAAATATATCCGACGCTAAGCCACGTCAAGAACGATTTATGTACTTTCATAATGTGTCTAAATGTTAGTTATTTTACTAACTACATGTTAATTAGAGCGTACGGTCATTAAGACAGCTCCATTGATCGCTTTATTAACTGGTTGCCTTTGAAGTTTACGGTCCAAGGATGTTAGTTTTTCCGCATACTGTCTTTTTATTATTGGTTGAAGTTTGGGCGCAACTGTTTGTTTACACAGACGTCTCGGTACGTTGTAACATCTAAAATAGATTTGTGGTGTGAAAACATTATGATTTCAGTTTAATTTGTTGATTGCTCACATCACTAAATGTATCGCTTGTTTGATTCGCATGATTTCTTCACTTTGATTGTAATTTATTGGTCTATCTGAATTAGCGGTAGATTTTTTGCTCCACTGAATTGCGAGTCTTGTAATTGAAAAGCAGTTTCGGTTTGATTTTATTGGTTCGATGTGATCATTGGTTGCTTAGGTAGTTACATTATTGACAACACTAACATTCTATTGATTGTACTGCCGTTAAAATATTCTGGAATAGCAAATTTTGTTACGATTAAAATATTTAATTTCTAGAATTGAAACACAAAGCAGAGAAGCAACTCGTCACAAAATTCATACTAAACAACAATGCAACAAACTTTCAAAAAGTTTCATGAACATTGACCTTCATTTGTAACATTAATTGACTCGTATATTTAGACATTTACACAGCACACGAAAGTATAAAAGCTTGTTCTTGTAAACACCAATAACCATTTATAAGCCCCACGTCAAAACATGACGCTCCTTAATGTTAACTCCTTACACATTAAAGCAGACAATCGATGTTATTTCGAGAAAGTTCCCTAAACCAGTAATTCTGAACGCAGTGAGGATTAAACTGAGTAGGTAATTAATGTCCTAATGATTGAATGCTTTTATCTACAAAAGTCTCTGTAGAAGTTTAAACTTATCCGAACAATTTTGCCCCACACTATTTTTATAAAATTTTGACGTTTTAGTAAATGTTAGATTTTTAAATAAAACTCGTTTGAATGTGGTTGAATGCTGCGGCGCCGCAAAATCGACCTCGGCTCTGTGGACTGGCGGCGCGCCAGCTACTCGCGCACGCGCATCCAACAAACGTTTTTATAAAGATTTCATCTTCTTTATTGTTTTTCCATGATATCAGACAAATGGTGATATATTTCAATCCTTTGTGTCGGCTAATCATGTCGGTCGATAAAGTACAATTTTATTTATATTTTTAATGCTTATTTTTAGGCGCTGAAGTAAACGAACATTCTTGCGTTTATTTTAAAGTTTTAGCTTTTTCATTTAGGTAGCTGGCAGCATTGATTTTGCAAAATATTGTTAATATAGGTAGTAATATTACGAACAAGCAAAATATAATTGGACATATTTTTACTATGTATTTAATAGTTATAATTTTTAATTGTTATAATTTTAAAGAGACAATTATATCAGCAGGCTTTGTGAGAAATGTGGCAAACAGTTTTGTGCAAATTCAATAATTAATAATTAAAGAATATCAAGAACTGTAACTGATGTAATAAATATTGAAGCTAAATATGCGTATTTCTAATCAAATAATATTGTTAGGTATATAGAAAACTAAAAAGAGAAACATTAATTGCCAAAAAAGTTTGAAAGTAACTTTTTGAAAGTTAGAAACTCACTTTGTTTAGTTCTTGGCTCTCTAGGTCCGTCAACGGTGACTTTGATAGCTTTCATGTAGGTGGCCACTTGGCTGGGGAAGGTGCTGATGGTGATAGTCAAGGAGAATGACTTCCCTCGTCCACTGCGACCCACGAACCTCAGGTCGTTAAACTTCGCAACCTGATTCTTCATTACCGCCGTACAGTTCCTCAATTCTGCCATAGAATTTTCATCATTTCCAGCCTTAATCGTGACCAGGGTACCATCCTGCACATCATCCAGAGCCACCACCTTGAAAGCCACCGGCAGCGACTTGTTGGACCTCCAGTGGCCGGGCAGCACAGAGCACAGCACGGCTGGGGAGCCAGTCTGCACCAGCTCGCCGTGACTCTGCCGATAGTACTCATGGATATGAGCATAAACGTCCGCCATGCTGGGGGCCGGAGGGCTCGCGTGCGGGAGGTGCATCGACTTCAGTCTACCGTCTACGAACACCGCACCGACTCTCAACACGCCACTGAAGTCCTCTATCACGGCACTGTAGTCTCTAAACACTTTGGTAAAAGTTTCAAAACACGCGATCGGTTTACAAACTCGCGGGAAGTGCGTCGCGTGCGCGCGGAGCGCTCAGAAAGTTGTGCAAAGTACGGGCGCAAGACTCCGTGTGAGCCGCGAGCAGAGAGCAGCGTCTACACCACTTGTTGGGCGCGGACGGCAAGACGCCGGGCGGGGGACTCGGAAAAATAAACGGCGGCCGGGTGACTCGCCGACACCGCAAGCCGAAGACTCACGACGCGCACCGAAGTCGTGGCGAAGGGACGCGTGCTCACGAGAACTCAGTTTCAACTGATGACTGTGATACGACGCGACTTTTTCCGATGGTCAATATTTTGCGTTCGCGCGGTCGCCGCCCCCACCCGGGTGGCGGCCCCTACGTCTCGTAAAAAGCGGGAAGGAGACGAAGGGTACGGGTGATGCGGTGTCGCAGCGGGAACGAGCGGGACGGCCGCGGTTGGTGTCTGCGTTTTTATAAAAATGCTCGTTGGAGTGGGACGCCGGCGCTCACCGCCGCCTAGTGGGAGAGGGATGGGTGGATTTTTTTGAATCACCGCGGTGACGTATCGCGAGGCGGCGGTAATTAGGCCGCGGGGCGGCGGGAAACCGCGGCCGGCGCGAAAACCTATCAACGAGCTCATGAAAAATTATGATTTTCATGTTTGGAGTCGGCGCCGCTCGCGGGGTGGCACTTCATTTTCGCTAAAGCACGCGAGGAATTTTGATGACAGGGGTTTTGACTGACACTTTTAATCACACCTCATTTTTAACAGAATATTTTTGAAACACAAATGTGTAGAGAATATTGCAGATAAAATTTTATAACATACTTATGTTTCTAAAGAATAAAATGATTATAGATTGAGTTCTGGAAAAAATATAAGAATGAAATAGGTGCATGGGTACTTGTGTTTTATGAAGTTTTACAGTTTTTACAAAAAAATCATTTAAAAAATAAACGACATTCTAAATCTCTTCTACTGTAGCTTTCATTTCTAAATTAATTCTCAACAAAAATATTGTTATCAAAGATTTTAAGAATTAAAATAGAAGTCAAAAAATTCGTGTATAAAGTTGATACGGGCGCGTCCGCGTGCGGTTAGCCACCGTGTTGCGGTGTGAGAGAGACGACACGAGAGGGGGCGGGGCCAGGGCGGGCCGGAAAACTTGTGACGAACTTTCGTGAGTTTCCCGCGCTTTCTGTGAACGCGACGCGCGGTAATGCACGCGTCGAACGAACGAAAGTTACGTGTCATTATAAAAAGTAACTGCATTAATTGAGTTTTTATTAATTAAATCAATTTTATTGTTGTTGTGATTCTTATTTTATTATGACTATGTCTTATATTAATTAATGCGTTATAGTTTTATATTTAGGCAATAGTGTAACACTGATGTTAGACGGTTTGGTTTGATCTTGAAGTTATTAAAAATTTAACTTAGGTACCTGAATCTCAGGAATATTCCACGCACATTGCACAACCTAAGTATCTACAAAGAGTGCTGACAAATCTACGAACAAAGTTTTTTTTTATGGCATAAGCTGGAAACGGACGGATCACCTGATGGTAAGCAATCGGCGTCGCCCATGGACACCTGGAACACCAGAGGCGTTACAAGTGCGTTACCGGCCTTTTGGGGATTAAACTGTAAAACACCAAGCGGTCACCGGTGACCGCAACCTATTGTTCTATAATTGTGTCTACAAAACCGGTACTCGACGAGTTAAAGACAACTCTTAGGCTTTGCACTTGCCTACTACGAAAAAATGACCTTCGTGTTATTTAATTCAAAGAATGATCTAGTTTTACGCAAATTTGTTGCAAACTGGTTTATCGGTTGTTGAGTGCAAAACCAACACAACTATCCTTTTTCTAAACAATGTTTTTGTTCTTCACAAATTATACGGAGCCGTTTAAAAAATAATTAAAAGCAAAGGGGTAGGTAGAATTGTAGTTATTCAACCAAAATTTATTAGTTTAGCCATACTTCTTCTTATCAGTTTGTGTAAACATTGACTATTGTTATCTCCAATGAGGTTGTTTACCTTTTAACATCAATTCCATTGTTTTACCAAAACTTATGGTTTTTATGGCGGCGGCGGCTCCTTTGATGTTCCCGCCATTGTGCTAATATGGCGCTCTCTATTGTCTATGCTGCTGTAAAGTTTGTCTATGGTTTAAAGTTTGCGAATAAAACGATTTGTGAGGTATCGTAAAATTAGTAAGTTTGTTTTTTTTATTGAGATGCACATTTTGTGGGTGGTTTCGGTTTGATAAGTAACGGTTTTTAAACTAAAGTTAGTATACGATGGTTATATAACTCCCTAAAACCTCGGTAAAGTTTTGTAGCCATTTTTTACTACTTTTTACTCCTTTTTTTAAATGAAATTGTATTTTGTTGGTTTTATATTTATTTAGGAGTGTAAAGTAATTTAGTTTTATACTTTGGTGGTAATTTTTGGTGGTCTTGGCGTTTTAGACCTGAAGAGAGCTGATATTTTTTTTTATAATGGTTTGTTCAATTAAAATCCCCCTATATATATTAAAACAAATAAAAATCTTATAAATAAAATTCTAGAATATTCAGCTAAAAAAATTAAAGCAATCCTCCCTCTTCTATATTCAATGTTAAACCTAGAAACTAATTCTCTTTCTCCTTCAGCAAAATCAAAGGGAGTTCGATTAGTTTCTGCCAAACTAGATCTTATTCAACATAATTGAAACCATATGAATACTTTATTATTCTGTTATACGTTTTAAAAGAAAAGTAGTAGGACCATGCACAGAAGGTTACATAAAATCAACTTAGGCAATACTTACCTCCTACCACAATTTCTGCTCCATTGCGAATTCTGCAAGTTGCAATGGATCAGAAACTGCTGTCAGATTTTTTGAAGAAATTTTATAACAAAATTCTTCTCGTTTTAAATTTTATTTGTTCATTACCTAGCTGTTGCCCACGACTTCGTTCGCGTAGATTATGATTCTTGTTTTATCCCATGAGAGCATTTAATCAGAATAAAAAGGACCGGAATAAATATCCTATCACCTAAGTCAGCCCATACGCTGTCTGTACCTATATCTAATTTCATCAAAATCCGTTCAGTAGTTTTAGCACAAACATCCAAACAAAGAAACTTTCACTTATCTCTTAATAATAATTATGCGTTTGAAATGTTATCGATTACTTGCCGTGGTGAGAGTTCCCGAGGTCTGAATACCGGTTAATATAAGTCAATGTAAGTAGGATACTACAATAGATATTTTAGAACTTTTCATCATTTTAGTAAAGTAAACAAGTATCATAAAGACTCATGAGGTATCAAGTAGTAACTAGATAGTAGGCATGTTTGTTTGAGATTTTTTTTGTCTTAAAAAAACGTTGCCCCGCATTAGGATTTTCTCCTGTGTCGTGGGTGCATTTACAAACACACAAGTCACCCAGACCCGGAACAACAATCTGTGGATCACACAAAGAGTTTTACAGTGCAGGAATCGAACCCGCGACACGTTGTGCGATAGCAAGTTGCCCAGCCACCGCGCCGACCGAGCCATTGGTCCAAACTACAGTTCTAGGTTTAAGTAATTTGAAATTGGAACCTTACCGATAGAACGTTAAAAAACATGGTAGCTTTCAAGCCCAATATCGAAATCACGATACATATTTCATTGCACCCGGTATCATAACCTCCATTTCATATTACGGAGGCAAACTTGTCAAACAATACAATATCATTCAAGTAGAAATATTTTACTCCAAATATTTTTTCTACCAGATAAAAAACACTTGAAGAATTGCGCTACCAAAAATCGATTGTAGTACATAATCAAGTCCCAAAACAAGATGTCAAGAAAAAACATCCGTCATAAAATTTAGAAAGTTCATCGTCTAGGGCTGATGACACCGCTGTTCTCACAGGGCTGTCAAAAACATTCACTCAATTACAGCAATAAAAATAATATTGTACGCAAACATTGGACGCTTTGAAGTTCGCGCCGATAGCTACCGAGCGGTTTTGTGCAAGCGCACTGAGACCCGCAAACAATAGCCCAACACACAATACCAACTCGGCTTCTAAGACTCCCTATTATGTTGGCCCAAACATTGGCATTGGTGCATTGTGGGCCCTTTTGTTACCTATTTACCGACTTTTGGGTTGTTACATTCAAGGGGATGCTGACAGAAAGCCGCTCTGTATATTTTAGAAAAAATGTTACCAATCTCTAGAGCACGTGAATAGATCCATCGACGGCTAAATAACAAGTTAATTGAGATGTCCTATTCAAAATAGCGATTAAGCTATTCTTTGGTAAGTTAATTAGGATAGAATTATTTGATAAATAGTTTGTTTGAGACTTGAAAGCATTCCAACAGCATTATAAAGGGATCTTATTGCCAAATTGTATTAGAATATAAAGAAAAGAATTGTTCGAATAACAGAAACATAAGGTATGTCACACGAAACAGAAACATAAGGTATGTCACACGAAACAGAAACATAAGGTATGTTATACGAAACAGAAATATAAGGTATGTTATACGAAACAGAAACATAAGGTATATTATACTAAACAATGTTATAATGTGTCGTGTCAGTTAGGTCACCACAACTTTGAGGATTCTACTACCCACTTCAAGGTGGTTGGTCGCAATTATCCTCGTATCTGTTGAAACACCGCCTCCCGGTATAAAACACATTATGGCCGCAACTTTCAACAGACAAGAGGCTATAGGACATACCCACCAGATTTCAGCTAATAACTTTATTTTTTTTTTATTTTTTTTTTTATTTAGGAAACAAACAGTCACATAAAAAACAAAACTTATATAAGAAAACAATAGGTTCAAAAAGACTTCGAGTTCCATACAATTTTTAAGTGTAGCATAAGTAACCTACCCACAATTTATTTTAAACAGAATACACAAGCACATGCAGTCAAACATAGGTTACATTATTTTAAGAGTAGGTTGCGCAATTTAATTTTATTAGATGCTAAACTGTGGTTAAATATATCTATTTCGTTAAATTTACTATTATAAGTGTCTGTGCTACGTCTGAAGAAGCTATTACTGGTGTAAATTGTTTTATAGAAAGGAACTGAAAAAAGTTTATTAGTTGGGAAATCGGTAGTATATCTTCTTTGGTACTTTGGTTTAAAAAAACTTGTTAGTCCAGAAACTTGCAATGTACACCTTTGTACTGTAGTCTACGACATATGTTCGAAGTGTAGTCTACAATATAATCGGTGGACGGAAGTATGGGCGGTAATACTCA